GACTATTCATCCCAAGAAATGTGCATTGGCTAAACAGGAGCTACAATATTTAGGCCACATCCTGGGTGGAGGAGTCATAAAGCCAGTGAAAGACAAGATGGAGGCAATCAAAGCAGCAGAGAGACCAAGAACCACAAGACAAGTCAGGTCGTTTTTGGGCCTTGTAGGCTGGTATCGTCGATTTATCAGGAACTTTTCTGCTAGAGCAGCCCCTCTTTCTGACCTCACTGGGACATCAAATGCAAAAAATTGTGTGGGGAGAAGCACAGGAGAGGGCCTTCCAGGATTTGAAGCAGGCACTGTGTCAAGAACCTGTACTTCAGAGCCCAAACTTCTCTTTACCCTTCACAGTACAGACTGATGCATCTGCCAGGGGAATTGGTGGGGTTCTTTTGCAGGGAGAAGGAGCGGAGAAGAAACCAGTCGCCTACATTAGCAGGAAGTTGTTTCTGCGAGAGACCAGATATTCGGCGGTGGAACTGGAGTGTCTGGCTATCAAATGGACGATAGACTCTCTCAGATATTATCTGCTGGGGCGAGAATTCACCCTTGAGACTGACCATCGTGCATTGAAATGGTTGGAGGCCATGAAAGACACAAACAGTCGCATCACATGATGGTTCCTGTCTCTTCAACCTTACCGATTCAAGATAGGTTACATTCCAGGAAAAGAGAATACAGTCGCAGACTTTTTGTCTCGCTGTGGAAACAGCGAGGCTCCTGAAGGGGAGGGAAGTGTGAGGGATTTACCCCCTCCCTAACAGGTGCTGTTTTTATGTGTACTTTATATATTCTAATTTATTTGGTAAATATATTTTGTGTTTGGGGGAAGTAACTTGATTTATTTACTTTATTTTAATAATCTTCTCTTCTCTTTGAGGTCACCTGGTCATGTGCTGCCATGGAAGCGCGCCCATGAGCAGTGCTGACAAGGACCTGGTGTTTTCAATCAGCCTCATTGGGAAAATCCATTGTATGAGAGGGAGGAGAGATGTATTTTTGATTTTGTTTGGATCCAGATTGTTTTTATTTTTCGCTTTGTTTGAGTTAATTGTATTTGGTATTGGAGTGATTTCTCTTCACCATCTGAGTTGCCATAAATATGAGTTCAGTTTGAAGAATGGGGCCGCATTCATGAAAGTAAACTGCTGCACTGAAAATATTGAGAAAACACATAGCCACTCCAAGAATTAGGAATTTTTTTATAACTTTTATAATAATAATTCTTAATATTTTCCTTTAACTTTGTGTTGATCTGTGACATAAAATTCCATAATATTCACCTTAGTCATATTGTTACAACTACATATTCTATTTAAAATATCTCAATGCATCAAGTCAGAATTTTCTAAAATCTTCAATAATAATGTTCAGATAATTTATTTTATTTGTAAATTTGAATGTGTGATCATCTCCAGGCTCACCATGGTTACTGTGCTGTACTTCACTTTGCAGGCCTGTATGTTATTAATTTGCGTTAAATGAAACATGTTTGTCCTCCAGGAAATGAGATGGCATTCCAGGGAAGCAGCTGGCTCGTTTCCATTCGCCTTTCTCAAGGGACTCTTTATGTTTTCACTGAGACCAGGAGACATTGACCAGGGTCAGTGGTGTGACATTCAGCTGCTTTGTGTTGAATTTTGATTAAACAAAGAACCACTTTCTTTTTTCCTTGTTTTATTTTCAAAACACACTGTCTGTACTTTAAATGCAGCAGGATATAATGGAAGGGGACATAGAAAACAAACCCCTCTGTTATGAACACCAAGACAGTCAGGTTGTAGGAAAATGAACAAAGAAGCTATTTCTGGTGGTTGTAATCAGTGTTTCTGTAACTAACATCCAGCTCAACTACTTTATCCCGCAGCACAGGATACACACGTTTATAACTGGAACACATGATTCTAGTTACTTTACCAACCAATAATGGGAACAAAGTGCTTTTTTGGAAAAAAAAACAGGGAACTACGAATTCTTCAAACTGGGATGAGTCTAAAGGTATTGTGTTCTAGACACAGAAGTTAATGTGAGTCAGTCAGTCATTGTCGTCTCCATGGTTCCCAGTCTGTGATCTGGAAGTAGTCCTGTAGACTCTCACTGGAGGCTCATGCACTCTGGGTGTGTATTCAGGAAGCCGTTGTAAGAGGTTGTGATCAAAGTGGCCAAGCGGGGGGACAGAGTGGAGGTTGTGTGTATTTGGCATTAGTAGTTAGCAGGTCCAGTGTCTTTCTCTACCTGCTGTATATACCACAGTGCTGGTTCTGTTGGACCTCAGCACAGTATTTGACACAGTGAACCAGGACATGTTTCTAAAGAGAACTGGGTTGGTCTCTCTGGTACAGTACTTGAATTGTTTGAATCTTACCTAAAGAACAGAGGCTTTGATATGTAATGCTTCATCGGACTGTTACATGTGGTGAACCCCAAGGTTCAGTCCTGGGTCCCTCATTTTTAATATCTATGCTGGTTCTGGTTCTGCTCTGCATCCCCAGAACCAGAACCAAACATGGAGAAGCAGCATTCAGCTTCTATGCACCACAAATCTGGAACAAGCTTCTAGAAAACTGAAAAGTAGCAGAAATACCAAATTCTTTTAAAACCAGCAAATGCACCCAGCTGTTTAGAGTTACCTTTGATTGCCAGAAAATGGAACATTGATCAACATATTTGATGTATATTTGTTTTATGATTTTGTAATGTAATATGTATTGTTTCTTAGTTTTATGTTTAGTGTAAAACACATTGCTTGCCTTTTTGCTGAAATGTGCGATAATAAACGTCACTTGACTTGAACGTCACTATTAGCAATGGAGCTTTACAAGCTTCACTAACCGAACAACTTAAATCAACTGTTTGGTGATATTGTCATTTCTTTTACTTGCAAAGAAAAGTAAAAAACATTTATTGACATGTGAATGAGGCCGTATCTGCATCTGAAAAATGTAGTTAAAGTCACATCATACAGTACTGCTGGTCATCTCTATGAGAAGTTTTATCAGAAACAACAGAAATACAGCCTCATGTAAAACTATAACATCATGCAATACAGATTATAAAAATATCAGGAATTTAGGCATTGTGACGGCAAAGATAGAAAACATACCCCGAGTTATTTTTTAATTGCTTAATAAGCTGCTGCAAAAGAGGGTGAAGAAAGCACATAACTTCACAGGCAAAAAAAAGTATACATATTACAGACAACATATTCAAAATGAAACTTTAATGAACTCACACACATAAAATACTTAATTCACACCAAAGAAGTTACAAGACTTTCCAAAATGTAAATGTTGGGAACGCCAGATTATTGCTTGAACAGATTTTACATAAATAGGCCGTAACATATTTACACTGACGGTAGCTGTGAAGGCCAGTTTTCCTGAAAACACGACTGCTTTAGAGTAACGGTGAGGGCTCCACAGTGCTTCCACCGTGGCACAGGAATGGACATAGCAGGTTCACTGGAGCTGTCATATCGTAAGTTTAAAAAATAAAACAATTACCACATTACACTCTTTCACCAATGTCTGAAAATAAAACTGTAGTTCGTAAAAAAGATAGATGAAACGTCTTCAGCAAACAGATTTGTGTATTAGCTTAAAAACTTACACTTGGTTTTCTTAGCCACTAAAAGTTAATATGTGAATTCACTGAATACATTCAGAGCTTTTCAAATTCCACTTAACCTGCTACTAATGACACCTCAGAGGAATTCAGAGACAGATCAAGTGGATCAAAACCCCCACACTGATCAGCCATCAGGGTTAGTTTGTTATGTTTTACTGCAAATCTTTCAATGTAATATCCACATTTCTGTTTGACTTCACCTAAAAAATAAAAATGAAGTACATTTTTAAGCATTAGAAAATATCATGAACTAAAGAAAACATTTCACATCCAGTCATAAATGTTTCAGCTCAAAATTACCTCAACTGAACTCTAAAAGGCAGACAGGCAAATATGGTATATTTCTTTCACCTTTTCTATCTGGATGGGCATTAAGCTGACAGCTGGTAAGAACAGGATCTGGACTGAAGATGACCTCTGCTACTTTAAAACAAGTCTGTTTAAACCAGTCATGTCTGCAGCAGCGTGGTTATTTACCACAGACCATGAAAGGTCTGGAACAGTCTTCAGATGTGAAGCACTTAAAGAAAAATAGACACAAAAACAACTGTGTGTGTCCAGAGTAACTGTCCAAATGTTACAATGTCCAAAAAAAATAAGTTAGTCTTCATTTGAAACCCCAACCAGATATTTTGAGCCAAACTTAATTCTCCTGATACATATGGAGGTCATAAAGGGAGTCATCTACTAGAGGTAAGATATAATCACGCATTACCTCCATGCATAACCCCACAAAAAAAAAAAAAATCTAAATCCTGAGGAAACTTTAGACTACATGGTTTCCTCTAACTGTTCTTCAAATGAGATTCAGGATGATAAAAAACAAAAAACTCCCACAAATCTGCCAGAAAAGTTGTGGTGGTACCGACTTAAACTGCAAGCATTTAAATGCTTTGGATTGTAACAATTACTGTCAGAATCATTCAAACCTTTAATTAATAATTACTACATAGCCTGGTAGCCTTTTGTGGTGGATATGAAGCTTGCTGCATCTACCACTCTGCTCCTGCTGCAGATTCCTCCACACACTCTAAGCAGGTTTCAGATTTTACTCCTGCTGCACCGTGTTAATACTGGTTCCAGTTCAGAGTTTTGGCCATTCTGACTGGGCATCTTCTGTCAATGTCTCAGTTGAATACAAAAAGCTACCTTCCATATTTTTATTAAAAAAATAAAATAAAATTATACAAAATCCACATGCCCATGCTTTAATTTTTCAAAACTCTCACCAATGGAATAACATATGTATAAAAGGTACATGTTATTACTATGGGAATAATGCCATATGCAGTCAAGTAAGTTTCAGTCTCCTAAAAAAAAGTGCCTACTAAAAATTGTCAGCAACTGCAAGAAGTTTAAATAAGGCTTAATAGAGTGTTGATAAAGAAAAAAAATCTGATTGGACTAAATCTTCAGAACGTACAGAACAAAGCAGAGCATCCTTCTAGAGCAGAATCATAATGCTTGCATAGTCTGACAGAGAGCCCGTCACCGTCTGTCCGCTTGTTCCAAGCTCCTTCACAAACTGTCAAACTTATGTTTTAAATAGTCTTTCATAACTTTTGCAATTGGAAGATCCTCCAAGAATTTCAAACTTTGAAGGCCAATACAGTGACGGATTTTTATTCGACACAGGTCCTGGAGACTCCGAGGTTGCCCTGAAAATAGAAAATAAACAATTACCAAATAAGTGAACTTGTTAGAGTTAGTTACTTAAACACATGAATGGAAACAATTGTAAATCTTGTAATGTTTCAGGTCTTTTTCTTTTTGGTGGGTGTTTCTACAGAGCACCGCTGTTTCTTATGAGCAACATGACCTGCACTACCACCTTCTGGTGACACTCTGGAACCTGCTTCCAGAGAGAGACGTTTCAGGAAACGCCAGAAACGTCTCTTTCAGAACCCATTTACATTTGAAATACTACCCAAATTAGTTCAGTACTTAATGAACTTAAGGACGCCATCAAATTATTTCCTAAAATTAAACAGCCCTGATAAATGTGAACTGGTAGACTGATGCTGGTCCATCTGGGAGACCTGCCAGTGTAGCAAACTATGCTACACTGGCAACTTTGCAACTACGTAGCAAACGCCGGTTTAAAGATGATTCCCAGAGGATTAGAAAACTCACAAATGTCAGACGTCACCACAGAAAAATGCATCATGCTTAAAATATAGAGACAGAAAATCTATATATACAGCTAAGCTTCATACCCATGGTAGATTTCGGCTTAAAAGTTTTCATTTTACCTACAAGTTGTCTTCATGAGTTGTCTGATTCATGACAAAATGTGTCATGAAATGCCTCTTCATGATGACACATTTTGAAGTGGCTCAACCTGTCTTGATTTCAGTCTAACAGAATCAGTAAAGAAGCTAAAGATTAGGGTGATGGTAAGAGGCCTTCCAACATCACTCTGGAAGCTCATCACTAAAAATACATCAAAATAACAGAGGAAACACAAAGCTGACCCGCAATCATATGAAGGTTTTAATTGCTGTACTGCCAATAAGTACTTTTATTGAAAAGGGTATAAATGTAGTTGACATGCCAGTTTCTAATAAAATGTTAAACGAGTATCAACTTCCATAGTTTTATTATCTTTTGAGAATTGTGCGTCTTATGTCCAATCAGACAAAATTCTTGGTTGATCTTTCACATGTATGAATACGTATGAGCTTAACTGTATAAATAAATGTAAATACACAGTACAAGTTTTTTCTGGACAAAAAAACTAACATAAGAGTGAAGCTGACATGTACAGTGGCTGAGGAGAACAGAGCGCCTGTCACTGGATGGTGCATGGTCCCTTTCATGTCAGAAGTTGAGGTGTAATCAGTAAGCCTGTAGATATGTGATCCAGCTGAACATCCAGAGTCCCTCAAAGGCCCGGTCCAGTCTCAGACAGCACACAGCTCTTTGTTACCTTTGATATCAAAGTTGAGGCAGTAGCAGAGGAATGCAGGCATTGTTACGTCTCAATCATAACACTGCAGGTGATCTGCGGCTCTGGAACAGAAAGTCCCTCAATGTTTTTTCAAATGTCTCCCTCCACTGCCACTGAAAATCTCTGTATATTTTTTTTTACACTAAAAATGGACAGTATGGATGGTCTGAAGACGGATTTTACCTGCATTATTACGAAATGTCAGCTAGAGACACACATCAAAGGTTGACTCCAAGTTTTAGCATCTCTAAAATATTTGTATTCAAGAACAAATGTTATTTAGGTAAACACTACTTTACAGATTTTTACACAAACCAAATGTTTCCTATAAAGAGTTTTTCTGACCATATGTACTTAATCAGGCTGTGCAATTAATCATTCAATATTAATCTTCAGCTTCAAAATATACAAAAACATTACACCATCCAGCAACACAAGAAATCTGTGCAACCAGAGAAAATCTACATACAGAAAATAACTATATTACTGAATGCAACTATTTTAAAGAAATGTGAAGAGTCTTTCACTAGTTACAGTACAAGGTGGATTCAAGGTTAATGACTGTTCTCTAATAACTTTGCTCTTCTAACCACATTGAATCATTTCAATAACTGATTATAAAATTAAACAAAATGATCAAGATTTGATTATTTCTATAATCATATAGACCTATCCCTAAACTCATCCTGTTGTCTAGCGGTTGTTTCCGTAAAACTGAGAGCTACTACACACAATCAGACTTCTTGATGCAGGGCTCTGATTGGCTGTTCACTTCAGCTTTAGAAATAAATGTTAAAAATCTGTGCTCGTCTAAAACGCATATGTTCAGAGTTGTTTAGTGTAGCTAAGATACTAACTGCTCATAAGACTCAGATTATAAACTTAAATCCTTACATACCAAAATTTAATTTATAGGTACTTTTGCTCTTCCATCTTGTTTTTAAAAAGGAGCAGAAACATGTAAATACGTCCATGGGGTCTATGGCTCTCCTAATCTTTTCTTTCCTTAGTTTGAGTAAAATCTAAATGTTGATGTATACGAAGTCTTAATTTCAAATTAATAATAATAAAAAAAAGATAGACATAATTTTTATGTCTATCTTTGTCAACAATACAAATCTTTATTGACATAACCGATTGGCAAACAAATCCTTCTTATAATTGCTGAGCAGCCTTTTGCACCAAAATTATCTTTGGTGATGAACTCCAAGTATTTGAGGTTAGAAGGTCTCACTGCCATCACCCTAATCTGTAGATCTCTCCACAGATTCTCTACAAAAGTCAGGTCAGGACTACAAAATGTAGTCCTGACCTGACTACATTTTGTAGTCCTCTTCTGACTGGAAGCATGTTTCTTCCAGTCAGAAGAAACATGCTGGTAAAACCCAAAGGTTTTTCAAACCAACAAATTATATTGAATTTCACTGCAAATATGTAGAGTGAACTGCAGGGGTTCTGCCAGTGTATTAGGCCTGGCGCCCCGCCATGCTTTGCTAGCCCCGACGCCAGGCTAAGTATTTCTTGTTTATGTTTTTAGAAAAATATATTCACAAAAAAAAAAAAAAAAAAAAAAAAAAAGCTTTTTATTGCCGTATTGAAAGCGTCTCTGTTGCTTTAAGCGTTTCA